TGTTCGGAAGGCGATGGAAAGACCTCGATGCGTCCCCTTTCACGGTCAATCGCACGTCGGTCGATGCGACAATTAATTACGAACGGGAAACTGTTTGTTACGTTTATGCATGAGAACGAACGGGCGGAACTGGCAATCGCGAATCGAATCCCGATTGCCATGATAATTCCCTGTGTACTTTACGCGGTTCGAAGTTTGCTCTCGCGCGTTCACGCGCGTCGATTGTTTGTCCACGAGGAATAGAAATCGTTTCGCGACTCGCCCCCTCGCTCGCTGTTCGTCGAACGATAAATGCGTTTCTGCAGGTTTCCTCGTCGTTTCTATCTAAATTAGAAATTCTTTTGATTCTTTCATTTTCATTTCATTCACCGATCGAACCGAATCTCGTTTAGTTTCGTTGGGATCGATTCGTGTTCGAATCGTACCGACGAAGTTCAGTGAGAAAATATGTTGGCCGATCGCACAGTCCTATCGTTACACGGAACAGCGTTCACGGTGTTGTTCTTTTGTTCGGAACGGTTCCCAAATGGCGCGTACGCTCGAGTTGGCCAGCTTTCACGAGTCTTTTATGGCCTCGTCATTGAAAAGGATCCCGCGGACCGAGCAAACCGAAAGAGTAGCGTAAGCATTTTCCGGCGTTTAAAACGGTCTCCGAATCCCGATATCTGTTGCTACCACTCTTGCTCGCCCTAGCTGATCTCGACCCAGTCCATTCGCTACAGGTTTCGAGAAGTTGAAACATTTCCTTAATCACGTTCTTTTGTCCATCGAACGTTGTCTCTCGATCATCGCGTCGACTTTCTTAAAACAGCCGATCGTCCCACGCTCCCCTTTCGTCGATCCTCGAAATTATTTTTACAGCACGTATCAGAAAACGTACGCTCAATGTGAAATTGAAAAAAAATGAACAACGCCGAGCACCCGGCGTTGAAACGTTCCGATCCTCAAATTATTCCGAACAGCCGGCTCTGAATTCGTTTGAACGCAATTCATCGCGAAACACGCTCGTTCGACGGGCTGGTCTTAAAAAGTAGGCTAAACCGAAAGAAAACTCGCGGCAGGCAACATGTTTCACGGTGAAAGATTTCAAAAGTGCCCTTAAATCACGAACTTTCGCCGCGCGCACGCTTTTTCCTTGCAGCTATTTTTTTTATCCTTTTCCCACTCGCGTCGAAATACGGGACGCCGGATGTGCTCGGGAAACACTTGACGCTCGGAAATCTTTCCACCATCTCGTACAACGTGGCCCACGTGAATAAGCTCAACTTCTCCATTTGCGCGACTTTCCTGTAACGTTAAAATTACGTCGGCACACGCGTCGGTCGGCCATTTCTTCGTTTATTTCTGCGATTTAGACGCGAATCACGCGGCATCGACCGATACGATCTATCGTCGGATCGAGTGGGTCGAGGGTCACGGGGACAGAGGAGCCGTTCGAGCTCTTAAAACTGTACCGCGATTTTATGATTCGCGTCTAAACGTTAAACGTGACGAACAAGACGTGGTTTTATGCATAAAAATCCAAGCAGCGAACGTCGTCGGAGGGGTTAAGAAAAAAGGATCGTAACTCGCTCACGGGCCCTCGCGACGTTTTCTTCATTTTTTCGTGCGCGTTTTTCCTGGGGCGAAAAATTCCCATCGACGAATAAATATTAACGAAGCCCCGTAGCAGTTTGAAACTGACAATGAATTTTTATTCCCCTTCGACGACGTCGAATCTCTTTTAGTTCGACGCGGCGCGCGGGCATAATTTGCATCCATCGATTTTTCGACGGGGACGAAATTTGTCCTGCGCCGCGAAAATTATCGCGTCATTCGTTTCCTGATTGAATTCGCCGATTCCAATCTACGACTACGACGCTGCATCGTTTCTTCGCATCGCGAGAATACGGCGAACGTTCGATTAATCAATCAATTTTTTATGCACGGATGAACACGATTGTTCAATGAAAAGAATAGATCTGTACGGCATGGTTCCATTTCGAAGTGTTCGTCGTTCGTACCTGCCTCTAAGACATTGCCATGATTCAACCGCTGACACGTATGCGATCGTTGTGCACCTTTATTGCGGTTCGGGAGAATTATTTCAATTATTTATGATTTCGATCGATTCGATTCGAAAAATACCTATTGTACGAGCAGACTGTCAAAACTGATCGGCTTTGGCCGATCGTCATTTGTTTTGTACGGACAGGGCATACAGCGACGAGGCAACAAAACATTCGTATGAAGCGAATCGCAGACTGTCTAGGACGAATCGAAAGTGTTCGCGCAAGGAGTTTCTCGGCGGGACGCGAATGTACGGCGCGGATCGATGCACCGGTAGCTTTCAGTTCCGGAGTTAAAACAGACAGAGAAGGAAGGAAGGGTAGGGTGGCAGAGTCGGAGTAGGGGTTTACAATTTAAACGCAAATGTAAACGGCCCGTTCACCAGAGGCGTGCAACAACTTCTATCCTTGCCAGGGAAATCGATCCCTGGCCCAGGCGAAGGATGCGCCGCGCGTAGAATAATGGAATCTAGGATTAGCCGCGGGAAAAGGTTCGCCTTCTTGTCCATTCGTCCCTGCACCACTAGTTTGCATCCTGATCCCACGATTTACCATTCTTCGCCAGTTGCGCGAGTCGTCCCTTCGAATGTCTCGCGAAACGAAATAAAGAGTCAAAGCGTACAGTTGTTATTCGGTGATTCAAAAACGTCGATGAGATTTAGTTTTCGATTGAGCACGTTTCAAAACGGTATGAGCATCGTCTCGTTCGTGCGAGTAATAAGAGATCAAGTTGCAAGGCAATCGATAAAGATATACGATTCAAAGGCAGGCTACATGTTTGCGCAATGTTATAGATATAGACTTCGACCAGTGTCTTTATCGGGTCTCATTGAAAGTGTAAGACCGAGCGTTATCAGAAAATTAATCTGTTTGAACAAACGGCCGCTTAATTGATTTCTGGGCAAGTTCGTACATCGAAAGGAGGTTTCGACCAAAGACTTCGGCGGGCCGAGTCTCGCGCTCGAGACTTATCGCGTCCGTCGACGGAGACGCGGTTTTTCATAAAATTCACCGATTCTCCTTGTATCCTCGTGGAGGAAAAAGGGCCGTCCGGAAACGTTCGCAGTCTCGAGATCGAAGGGGAAGGTTAAACGGCGCGTTGAAGACGGGGGAATCGATAAGTTTCAGACGCTTGTGTAAGTAGGGGTCGGACGTAGATACAGTCGGGCCTCGGAACAATGCGTTAAACGATCAGCTATTAAATGGTCCGTCCGTCGTCCTCTTTCCTCGGCTCGCTCGTTCGAATTTCCATCGCGACAGGCTCGAACCGTTCGTACTCAGACTAATTGCCAGCCGTCCGAGTAATTAGGCGAGGACGTATAATCGGATTTGCGGTGACCGTGTTTAGAATTCTGCCGATCTCAAAGGTATCAAAAGTTCCGTGAACAAAATCGATTGGTCTCTGTTCAAACGTGATTCTCGTTACTTCTCTCATTCGGAAGAAACGTTGCGCGTTTGGACCCCTCGTAAAACACGATGTACATGTAACACGTCGTTCGTCGGCGCTTTGCTCGATTTGAGTTTCACCGTACGTTTAACGTTTTAATTGGACGACGCGTTTGTTTCATTGATTCTCTGACGATAATAGAGGGGAAGTACGGGGAATAAAATGCGAACAACGACGGTAAGATCAGAGAGTTAGGGTAACGGTCTGTATACAGGCGGAACTGTACGGTGGTCGTCGGGCGTGGAAATCGATTTGTCGTGTTCACGCCCTCGAACGCGAGCGAGACAGAGGTGCACGGATGCAACGCGACGGGGTAATGGGATGTAGGATTAACCCGGCGAAGAAGGATTGCCGGTGCCTCCCCTTCTTCCGTGAATTACCTACTTCTTCTTCTCCACCCTCCGATGGAAACGTTGCCACGGTGTCTGTACGCCTTTGAGATCTCCAACGACCTCGCTCCACGACGTTTAATCCTTGAGCCCGTGGAAATCTTCGGCATCAGCCGGCTTAGAGAGGAACCGTGTAAAGTTCATCGTCGTTCGGTAACGAGAATCTTCTCTCTGTACTCTATCAATCCCCCGATGATAAATTGATGCGTTTGGTAGTTTGTGGCTTTAGATTATCGATGCGATCGAACGAGCGAGATAAAAGAATTTTCATTCGGCCAAGTTCTCACCCGAAGACGTTGGCCATCGGTACGATAATATACGGCCGATGTATTGTAAAACTGATGGACACAGAGGTGGCTCGGTATCGAATCGATGTTCGGATAAAAAGTGTCTCGTCGGCGAGAGGAATTTTGTATTCTCGGCATAAAACCCAGAAATAGTGTGTCCCACTTGCATTCGTTAACCCCCGGGTGCGCTTTGTCACCAGGAGCGGCTCTCGAGTTAGTGCTTTCTTCATTAAAATGTAGAGTGTCCGCCTTATTACGTACACGCCGTTTTTCGCTCGAGTGACTAGCCAATGACGAAATGCAAAATGAAGTTTATTACTGATTCATTGCATCGTTGATGCGGTTCACGTGCTCGTCTATCATTCAATGCGGGCAATTATTCAACAGAATCATGCCGCTCATTATTAACAATCTCGCCTGCAACGCGAATCATGTATACTCTATATTTTTTAAGCTCGTTTCGTTGACGCGCAGTTACGTCGTGAACGTAGAAGACTTCTAATTCTTTCGTACGGTGTACGAGGCACGTGGTTGAGGGGAAAGGTGCGAACGAAGACGATATTGGAATCGATTCGACGTAATCACGTAATGGTTCCCGCCTCAATTACTCGGAAATTGCTTCGACCCGTCGCCTCTTGTGGATCGCCTGTCAATATTTATAAGGTGTTTCGGTCCGTGTCCCGCGTTATATTGCTTCCCAAGCAACGGGCTATACGCGTCAATTACTCTTTTCATGCCGTGTGTCAAGCTTCTTTTACGACTGCACGTATAACGTTCGTAGGAAACGCAGTTCTTCGTCGAAATCTGTGACACTTTCTGTATAATTGTGGAAAGTTCGGAAAACGGTTTCGAAGGGCTGGTGCGGTTAAAAGGGTAGTCTCTTGAAAATTTACACCGCAAAACGATGAAAGCGTCGTTAACCACCGGGCCGGAGATAAAGCCGTAAGAGAAGCATTAGACGTCGACGGGATAAGTAAATTTCGTTGCCGCAAAAAAATATCGTTTCGTACGCTGAGAACTTTTTCCATGACGTTCATGGAAGATCGAAGAATGAAAGGAAATTTAAAGATGAAACCGGATAAAAGACGTGCGAGGATAAAATGTACGTAAGTACATATGTACGAGAGCAAATGTCTGCTGAAGGGGAAGGGACAGCATTTTTCTTTTTTTTTATCCGAGTCGATCTCGTCGAAGAGCTTTCAAAGGAGGCGAACGCCCACGGTGCCACTCCGAAGAACGAAGAGATTAATGCCGTCCCTGTCAGGGCTGCACCAGTGCACTCCGACTTGCCACTTACAAGGATACTTAATCGATGCATTTATCTGGACGCACTATCCTCCTCTGCAGGAAAGGATTCATTATCGACGCAAGCCTCGCGGTCGCTTTCCACGAAGCCGGAAAAAACTTTTGTTCACCGGGGTTCTCCGCTCGGAAAATTGAAACAGTTAACTCTCTCGCGAAGGGGAGTTCGAAACGAACTCCGTAAACTTTTACGTATTTTTAATAAGTGCCGAGCATTGTATAGAAATACGTTCCGAACGAACGCTTTTAGAGGTGAGTAGAAAGTTTTGCTTTCGTAAATGGAGAAGTCGTCGTATCGTTAAATAAATGATGCAAGCAGTAAGAGAATAGGACAAGTGGCATGAGTAAAGACATGGTCAGACGACTGACGTAGATTGGTTACCAAGTAGCTTAGGTACGGACACAGACGTATACAACGGTTCGGTTTAGTTAAGTGGACAGATTATGTAAGAGAAGCGAACAGAAACGTGCGATACTAACATAGTTAAATTAATTGTCAAATGCAGAATTCGTACGAAGGAGGTATGGCTGTCTAAAACGAGTCTCTACCCGCTTGGCACGCGTACACGCAAAAATTAAATTTTTATGACGTGGTACGAGTGCTGTGAATATAGTGTTGTTATAAATGTTAAATATAATGCATCGTTCGATTTAATAATTGATCGAATGGTAGATGCACATTAAATGCCTCATGAATCATGTAAATCTTTTTCCTGCCCACAGTGAATACTTAAACGAGCTATTCTCCGTGTTAACCGTTGTTCCCGTCTCATCGTACTCTACCTCCTTTCGCGCGCGCGAGTCGTCGTTGTCCCAAGAATTAAAAAATTTAATTATCTGAAATTACTGTTGACCGTGATCCCGATCAAAGGACCGTTCCAATCAGTTCCGACGCGACTCCCTGGCTCAGTCTCGATCTTCCTCTTTTTACGTTCAACGAGAACCGACCAACGTGCTTTACTCGCGTCCTTTAGAACGCGTCCGACGAAAGTCTATAAATATTTTGCATACTTACGTCCGTATAAAAATTAGATCGTCTTTCACATTTGACATTTCGATCTTTTGTTGCAGTTCCAGTAAGAGCGACGGGGCAAGTTTTACTGGGCGAGGTAGCCGTTCAAGACGAGACCGGGAATGAAATAACGACGGACGAACCGGTGCCTAAGAAGTGCGTCGCGGACGACGTCACGTACGCTCACGGCCAGACGGTGCGTAAACACTATCTCCTTTTTTTAATTGATTCCGGCGATTACGAGATTCAAGCGTGACGATGGAACCGTGCCAACGATCATCCGCGAGATGGACCAACTGGGATCAACGGTCGAGATTGCGTGTCGAGAAATGCGCGTGAAAATGAGATTTAGCTATTTCCAAACGATATGTTTCTAAAAGTGAACGTGCAAATTTTATTTCTCGAGAGTATTTTTTGCATGATCAGAACATCGCTTGGATCATTCTACACGTTCTTTTTATACGGTCTGTTTAACGTTCGGTTCATACGTTTTATTCGGGATTGCTCTAAATTGGACCAGCTTAATCGCGTGTTCCAACGTACAGTACTCGTTATCTCGTATTTGAAACGAGTCGAAGCACCCCGTCTGCATAATTCGCGACGACCTTGCTATCTCAGCGAATCTCCGGTAAACCGTTGAGTAAACAGCGAGGCGCAGGGTACATATGTACACGAAGGGGGACGAGCGCGTCACGTTTCAATAACGTTAACGGCGCGGTGTTACGTTGGCATCGTGCTGACGAACATGTGGATAAGCTCGAACGTTAATAACGAACGAACGGGAAAGCGTTTTTCCCGGCGAGACCGCGGGCTCCAAATGAAATACGTGCAACGAAACGATTATAAACTTCATCGCGATCATGTCCCACCCTCCGGTGAACTATTGAACGTTGAATCGCTGCGTGCACGTACGACTCGTGGCCGATACTTTTTCGACCAGCGTGCGATATCGATATTCGATGGGTTCCAAACGTTGCGGCAGATCTGCCGCTGGTTAAAAGTGATATTGCTATCTGTGTCTCAGTGGACAAATGAGCACGAGTATATCTGGTCGGAAACAGCTCGGTCTCAAACGTTAGTTTTACAGTTCGACGCAGTTGATAATCTCGTAAGGCGCGTTGGAAATGTAACGAGATTTTAAAGTTCGTTCCGTGAAAAAGCTCCTGGACGCAATTTGTCAGCGGCTTAATTCGTGCCTCTTATGGTTTACGTCGAATCTGGAACGTCACTTTGCGCTACGAATTTGCCGTCGGGGAAAAGTCTACCATTGTTCGTATTGACTTCGTCTGAAGTGAATACGCGGCACGTGCCAGCGTTAGGAAATGTTTCATACGTGCCTTTCAGATTCGCGAGCGAAATTTCTACCGCGCTTCGTTTCGCGCGTCTAGCTGTTATCATATTCGCGGCACGTGCTATTTTAAAGCAATAGAGCCGTGCCACGCCGAATGTACGCGAGTTATCGTTAATGAACGCAGGGAGATAAGAAATAAATATTAAACCAGAGTAGCTGTTAACAAACGGCATTGTCTCCTCCAGGGGGGTTGAAATATTTAGTTCGTCAAATCTGATAACTTGATTCATGGCACGGCTGCGAACGAGATTAACTTAAATTCGAGCAAAAATGAATCTGGGACACTGGACGTCGAGATATTCTGATCTAATTTTTATGCCGACAAACACGGCTCACATATTACTCGCGTTCGTATTCGCGTACTGTGCGCGACACGAACGTCTAATCACGACGATGCCGTAATAAACTGTTAGACGAATGCGCGAAGGAAGCAGGCACCCAGCATTTGGACCCGGTCAAATGAAATTGGGAAGTTGCATTATTTGAGTAAACCGTTCCCTCGCTCGAATAATCGTGTGCTCTTATTAGGTCGGATAATGGAATGTGTACAGTGTATTGTAGTAGTGTATATTACAGGGCGCGTGTTGACCAGGGAAAAGCAGAGTTAAACAATGGAGCCTTGGGGCCATTCGTGTCGTAAATATACTACCGAACTTCATCGCCCACCCTCTGCACGCGAGTCTTTACGTTCCCGCAATATTTCTCTCTTTACCTTCCCCGTTCGTAAATCAAACTGAAAGCGTATCTTCCTTTTATCGTGTATTTTTATACGGTTTACGTACGCGCGCCTCTCAACCCCCATTATGCGAATATCAAGAAACTCAGTCGTCGACCAACAAAATCCTTCCGCGACAAATAAAATCCGACTCAATTTTGGGTCGATGCGTTTCGATGTTCGGTTCGTATGCCTTTCTCGGTCGATGATTAATGCACCGACTAATTGCATCACGTTTCTCGATAGACGTTCGCTACGATCAAAATCGTCGCGCCTGTTTAGACGTTATTTTTTAATATACGAGCAGAGAATTTTTCCATACCGGTGCAGGAACGTTCCAATTTCGAGAGGGAAAAGAAGCCAGGCCGACTCGATTCGGGAAATTCCGGAGAACGCAGAAACGTGGGAAGGGACGCGAGAAAAATTCAGAAAAATGCGCGAGATATTCGCAAATATTCCTTCGCCAGCGCGCGCGCTCGCTCGCCTCTCGCAAACGTTTCGCGAGAGACGTCTGCTCGTAAGTGACAACATCCCCCGTGACCGACGACGAGCCGACGACGGTGTCCAATTAACGGAGTAACGCGTTATCGGCCGACACCCGTGATGATATGTACGTAGGAACTAGGACGCTGTGAACTCCTCAGTCTTGAACTTCTCAGACGTTGATCACTGCCGTTTATGTAAATAGTTCTCGTCCAAACGTCTATCGTCCCATTATTATTTCGCGTCACCTCATTCTTGTCCATGAATAGGTATTTTCCTTAAAAACGTTGAAATCTTCAACGTTCAAACAAGATCGTATCTCCCGTCTGATTTCCATCTGGCAACATTTTGAACGACGCTCGATTATTTCTGCCAGTCTCGTTAGCTCGTAGTTTTCGTTTTTTATTATTCGATACGATGCGGAGCGTCGATATTATTAATTAGTGTCGGGCCTGCGGGGTGCGCGAGACCCGCGATGAATTTCGAGTGGCAAACATCACGGATTCCTTCGTTACGGCCAGGGGAGCTTGTATAGTAATTAATGACATGTTTCGCCAGACTCGGTCGCTGCTTCTTTTTACCCCGGTTCCTTTCCTCCGGGCTTTTCCCTTTTTTATTCTCTCTACGGTGGCAACGAGCGCACGGATTGGAGCCACGTGTAAATTTCAATTTGTCTTTCGAGCATTCTGACATGTTTTCTGCAGTCTCGAGCAGACGAGTGTCGTGCAAATTCCTTTTCATCCCATGTACCGAAATATATTTGTTCGTGCGTCGCGTCGGTGACATTTGAGTGGGTTTACAGTCGTTACAAACGAGCCTGTCTCTCTCTCTCTTTTCCGAATCGAAGCGCGCGAACAAATTACATATGAATTCTTTGATAATGGCGTGTTCATCGAGAACGATGCATCCGTGTTCCAGATACCGTCGTACGACTCGAATTCTCATTGTCTCTGCGTCGACGGCGAGGTATATTGTTGGTGGCAGAATTACAATCCGAGCAGCACCGATCCCTCGACCGGCCCCTCTTACCTACCATCGACGACGATAGAAAGTAATTACACGCCGTCGCTCGAGGGTAGCACGGATGCCGTCGACAGTTTGGAAGCTTCCGGTGATCCGGCGGAGGAGCAGCCCTCCCCGGTCGAGCAGCAACAGGGATACGTGGAGATTAACGCGACCTACTCGACTACGTCGCAGCCACCGCCGACTACGTGCCTCGTAATGGGTAATGCGTCGTCAGACTTTTTCATTATGGTCGTCGCACGATGACTTTACCCGTTGATACCAGGAAAAATTGCATTTATATTCTCATACGATCGTTCGACGATTAAACTGGTCAATGGATAGATAAAAATAATCGACGTGTCAAATAATTGACGAGTCGGTAGATTCGTAGACGATTCAACGAAGGAATTAATCAAAGAATCGATGCGTGTATTAATTCATAAATATGTCGTAAACGCATGTTTGGAAACGGGCGATGTTGGTATTTTGATTACAGGGAGGGAATACCGCGAGGGCGAGTTGCTACCGCACTCGACCGGAAACTGCATCGAGTGCAGCTGCGGGTCGGAGGGCCGGGTCGAGTGTTCGCCCCGAGACTGCGTAGCCCTGCGACCCGAGATACCAGTGGCCCCGGATATACCGGACGCGCCGAACGATTTCGAGGTGTTCAACCTGGCCAGGGACCGCGACATCGACGAGAGCTTCTAAGGAATCCGGTAATCGTCGACGAATTCCGGAGAAGCGTGTAACGCGACCTCCCAGAATCGTGATCTCCTCTCAGGTTTACATTTATTTTTATCTCCTTTTTACTTTCAAACTCTTCTTCATGAAAATTGATCGAATGAGTTTCACTTGTCGTCGTTTTCTTTGACTTTCGTTGGATGAATTCGTTGATCTGAAGCGACGGTGTCGTAATCAATCGGTGATTTCTAAATAGTCTTTAGTAAGATATCAATATCGATACGTTGGTACAAATATTATTTAAAACGACGTTACAGAGTCAACCGACTCGTTCAGATATTTTAAGAAACATATCAGTATTTTAATTGTACATATAGTTAGAGAGAATATGATTTTAACATCGATCAAGGGAACGCTTTCAGTTGTAATTAAAATCTGAGGACACGATCGAAGATCCCCGAAGCGTTGTCGCAGCTGCGATTATTAAAGATCTGATGGGGAGGAAAATGTTCTCAGAGCGATCGCTACACGGTCGAAGGATCTACGAGTACTAATTAATTTCATTTGTACAGCTTCTTATCCGAGTTCCCTCGAGCAATAAGTCGCCCCTTCTCCCCGTTTCGTTTCAAATTCCGATTGAGAGAGTCCCGTGGAAAGGCGAAGCGGACTCGCCGAGAAAATCGATTACCGATCACGAAACAAAGGAGACATTAAACGCTTTCTTTCCACATACTCGAATAATAATAATAGTAATAATAATAATAATAATAATAATAATAATAATAATTGAACGAGAGGCGCGACGACGTAGGGATCTTTTGAGAGATTAATTATTTACAACGATTATTAATCGACAATGACCAAGGCGATCCGTTTCGCTTGAGATGAATCCAGTTCGAGTCGCGTTTACGTTCGACTCAGTGATTTAGCGAGGTTTCGATGACCAGTCAAGATGCACCTCCGAGATGTACGCTAATTTATTACCTCGTCCCAGAATTTCTAGTCGGTTCACTCGCGTGGGCCTAATTCATCGACCGATGGATCTTGTAAACGATCCATCCATTTACTCGTCGAGCGAAGGGTTCGTGGCGAGCGTAATTCCTGTCGGAAACGACAGACTGAGATCCATCGCTTCGTTACATCATCGGAGACAGTTTTCTCTGCGCATAATATTCAGAATTTTAATGTCCAATCTCGAAGCAGTAATTTTATAGACGTTTCTGACACGAACCCTTGCCTTCTGCGAATTGCATTTATTTGTCCGAATCGATGTTACCTATGATTATCTCAAGAGGCGTTAACGAATCTGGAAAAAACGTTGCTCGTGGTCGAACCTCGAGGAGGATTCGTTTCGTAGAAACTCATTTAGTTTATCGGTAAATTAGAGTCAGTAGTAGTCAAACGATGCGTTTATTTTTTTAATGAAAGTGTTGAACGCGAACGGACAAGAGGACCTCGAACTGTCTTAAGCTACCGAAAAAACACTGTCGTTCTGCCTACGTATATTCGAAGATACAGGTATAAGAGTGGATAGATCGTCGAATCTTTTCTATAGACGACCTAACGAGGATCTATCTCTGAATTAACGAATCCTCGGCCAGTTTTGGCCGCAAATTTTCTATGTAGACACCCGTAGATGATAGCCACCCAGATTTTAACCCTTTCGCGATGGATGCCGTGTATATACGGCAGTCACCTAGTGCATCACAGCGGCTGACGCCGTGTATATACGGCAGCCAATTTTTGGTCCACAGGAGCTGACGCCGCTTATACACGGCACCACTTATCTTACTTACTTACTTTTACTTAGGTGAAAAGTAGCAAAGTATGGTACAGGTGCGCCGTCGCGAAAGGGTTAACGATGAATCCCCGCGATCTTTAGGTCTCTAACGATGATCATCAACCAATTGCTGTGCTCAGATTTTTATCAAACTTTGTCAGAACGATTCCAATTCTCATCGATCGACGATAACTCTCTGACGATGTTCGCACGTTGAATACTTTTCAACAGTTTAAACGTATGCAAAGTTCGATGAAAGTCTGACGACATCGATCGACGTGAGGTTGTGATCGTGCTCCTGTTCGCCAGACCTCGGAGAACAGGGTGAGATCGAAAAGCGATAAATAAAACTAATTCTGTAGACGTCGGCCTACCACGTACGAATTAAACAAGTCCTGGTACGCGAAAGATAGGGCGATAATCGTAGGAGCTCGATGGTCCTCAATTTTCGTACAAGGGGTCACAGGCAATACTGGCTCGGCTCATTTGTGTCCTTCGCTAGTCGAGTCGCAGACATATCCCGTTTCACGATCGTTTCGCCCGGCTCTTTAGTACCACCCGGGTCGTAGCGATGCATGGAAGTATTTTACGTTCACCAAGCGACTCCCAGAGTACCGTGCGAGGCGTTCAAGCCTGAGTCCATTTGCGATCGGAAAACGATTTCGAACTAATTTGTCACGTAGATCAAGGAATTAGGCGTATCACACAGGTTTATAATTTCTATCGAATTATTTGAAGTTCGAAGGACGCCTCGCACGTTTGCATCATATCACGAACGAATGAACCGTCACGGAGAACCACCAAAGATTTTACGAATGAGATTAGCCTAGTTAACGCGTAAGAATCAAATCAGCGAGCAAGCGTCGAGCGAACTCTCGAGTACAGTACGATGCATTCCTGATCTCCCAAGAT